AGTGTATGGGTAGCAAGGGCAGTGTATGGGTAGAATTTGTAACATTTGGGTAGCAATATATGGGTAGCAACGTTAAATGCACAGGTAGAAAGGTATTGTAAGCTTGAAGTGCAAGGGAAGTGTAGGTACAGGTACATGTATAGAAAAGGATTATGCATGTATAGGAAGGGTAGCACATGGGTAGAAAAGGTAATCAGYGTTTGGGTGGAAAGCTCTGCCAAAGAAAATAATTTCCTAAATAAACAACTTATTTTGAAAAGAATTTTGAAAAAAAGTTTGATAAAGGGGCCATGATGGCTCCAAAACGTCGTGTTTTGTTGGTATCATTGAATTTCCTAATTTTGAAAATAATTTCCAAAATATCAAAATATGAGAGATAAGCTAATCAAATTTGCACAAATTTGCGCCATATAAGTAATAAGTTATTAAATTTTTATTATCAAATGAGCCCAAAATTGAAATTGCTGCAGCATTATCAACTTACTGTGTCTTTTCTCTGGGGAATATAATTCTCATCATACTTTGGCGGCGCATTCTGTGTACCATTAGGAACTCGATATACCCCTGTAGGTGTGCTGTATCCAACAGATGGTAGCTGTATATCATCATTTGGTCCGGTCGGTTTAGGCTTGGTCGGYGGCGGTACCTTCTGGGTTGGCTCATTCAAAGGCTTTGGTTTCGGCTTTGGTTTGGGTACTGCATAAATGGGTGCAGGCTTATCTTTGGGGGCACGGTCGAAGTCATCTGAGTGGGACCTCAATAATGGAGTGTTTACATCAGGTTCTCTTGAGTTATCAAATGACTCGCTGCGAGGTACTGTGTTGAGATGCCGTGGGGTGCTCGTTAATGGGTACGCTGGGTACCTGGGTCCTGAAAAGCAGAAATAACTTTATGAATAACCATCCAGTTGAGCAGTGAATTTTGTTTCATCGTTTAGCTTTTTTTGCACCGGCACACTTATTCCCAGGCTACTTTAACCAAACTTTTGGGTATTTTTCTTTCATTCATTCATTCACTTATATTTTTCATTCATTCATTCATTTATTTATTTTTTATTTATTCATTCATTCATTTATTTATATTTTTCATTCATCCACCCATCCATTCATCCATTCATTTTTAATTAAATAAATTGTGAGAGTACGGAGAGTTACTTTGAAATCGTAGGAAGGTACAGGGAAACAAAGGCCCCGTCAATACGTACCCGCAAATTTTTGTATCCGCAATTTTTTTTTTTTTTTTGCGGATACGGGTTGCGTCCACACGTGTCCGGAAATTTTTGTGGCCGTATCCGCAAATTCTACGAAAACGGACACGTGTGGACGGTGAAAACGATTCGAATACGCTGCGTGTGGACGCAAACATTTTCGTATCCGCAAAAATTTTTTTGCGAATACAAAAATTTCCGGATACGTGTGGACGGGGCCAAAAGCGATGACTGCGCACAATAATAATAGTAAACAACCAATAACAAAAGGACTTACCATTATCAGGAGTCGAAGGTCTAGGGTAATTGACTACCGGACGGTACGGGGCACGGTTGGGTATAGCTATAGGGGAGGGCACATCATCATCATCCTCGTCCAATAGGTGCAGAGGTGGAGGGGGTAATTCATCGGGTTCCATTTCCTGACTGTCTTTGCGGAAAGAGCATCTTTCGTGGTCTAGTTTGATCTGATCTATTGGGTGGTCGTCTAGTGGTCTCATTTCTCTGGAGCTCCTGAAAATGAATAAATAAATAGTACTTTGATTTTTTTATTGTTTTCATTTAGACTCATGATATGATCTTTAGTTTGCCACAAGAGCTGAGAAGTTCATCATCAAGCGCAATGATAAATGATCCCCCCTTTGTGGCAACAAAATGGCGACTTTTTGGAATTTATACGGTAGTTTTCATTTGCTTTTCTAAGTGTTACAAAGTGTTACAAAATCAAAACGTAAAGCAACACATTGCGGGCGTTTTTTGTTTTTTTTGTTTCGGGGGCCCAAACAGAATGGCGGATTTTTGAATTTCATCCCCATCCCCTCCCCCCTTCGGAAAATTCCTGGCTACGCCCCTGCTCATCTAGGGGGCCACACTAACTATTTAACAAGCTGGACAAGGCTCTCGAAAAAATCCTTAACATAAATATTAACATCTGGAAAATCAAGAAATTTTGACCTCGATAACAGCTGGAAATAATCTACAATCCAGATACCAGCGTTTTCGTGGTATTCATGTCAATAACTATGGGCAAAATATTCAATATAGTTCAAAAATATTTCAACCACGACCGCCACTACAACCACATTTGGTTAGCCATACTGACCACGAGCACAAGACTAGACAAAATCTTTAAATTCAAACAACATGGCGACAATAATTTGACTCTCCCGCAAAAGGAATGGAAAGCTATGTGTATTCAAAAGCCAACAAAAAGGGAACAAAAGCCGGGCTGCCATGCTGCATGACATAACGAAAGAAAACAAGAAATCTTTCATTTAATTCAACCAACATGGCGTCTATAACGTCACACGCACCTAGCCTCAGCTCTGCAGGCAACTCTAACTCCGTTCTCTAGCGCGCATAACTCTCTAGCGGGCTTCCTTTGCAAATGGAACGCGAGAGTAGATGCCTACAAAGGAAGCATCTACCCGAACAATAATTAAACATAATATGACGTCATATGCGTCCCCAACAATGATCTTTCTTTGCCGAACGTACCTTGGTATGTTTGTCACGTCCGGTGGTGGGTTAGCAGAGTTGAGCGGTTTCATTTCCATATTCTCCGTGTGATTGATCCACAAGTCAGGCGGTTTTTCTTCTTTCTTTTTCTTCACCGACCCATTCGCTATGACAGCCGACTTGTACGAAGGAGGCGGTTTTCGTGCCTTCCTAGGGCTGCAAGAACAACACAATACTGTTTTATTTGGAAGGGTAATCAAATAAAAAGTTCTTTATGCGCGTGGTCTCGACGCGGGAAGTCAGCGCGTCTAGCTTGAGAGACAGCGGTACGACTAGCGTCCTTAACGGCAAGATCAATTAGTACAACATGACCTTGATTTTACCACAAAAACCCGCAATGGTTATGCAATTAAAGTTTCATAACTGAACATGACAGACAAAGAAGAAGAGAGATTTAAGCGAGGAAAATGAGGTTAAAGGTATGGTGTGGTCTAGAGAAGGAACATTGAGTAGGAAATAGGATTTTTGTCAATAGCAAGTGCATAAGAAGAGTAAGAAGTGAAAACGTTACCATAGCAACAAGGCTTCTTCTGCTTGGTTTGCGCGCCAATCTTTAGTACATCACGAAAAAATGTAAAATTACACAATATTACGAAGTAATAGTTAAAATTACGCAATAATAGGTAAAATTACACAATAATAGTTAAAGTTATGCAATATTACACAATAATAGTTAAAATTACGCAATATTACGCAATAATAGGAAAAATTACGCAATATTACTTAATATTACAATGTTACGCAATATTAAATAACATGAAAAAAATACGTAATATTACGAATGAATAAATGAATGAAATATTTTCGAATGAATAAAAGAATGAATGGGATGCTCTCGAATGAATAAATGGACGATAAGTAGTCCGTTTTCCACAAAAAATTCAAATTCCTTTTGTTTGTTGAAGGCTTTTATTTCTGATTTCTTAACATAAGTATTACAATTTTTTTTCACACTGGTCGGTGACGTCCACCAAGAGCTCGAGAAACCAAAATCTACCGAGATACAATGGTTAAAAAACGATAACACGACAAAATCAAATACAATGCCTAACTAGAATTAACTATCCACTGAAGGAGCGGTAATACGGGCAACGAAATCGCGCAACTCGTCTTGCACCTGAGCGACCTTTCAATCCGACGACGAGTACGAAACGAGGTTTTTGTAATTTTAAAAGATAATAATAATAATAATAATAATAATAATAATAATAATAATAATATTTAATTAATATAGCGCGTTTCACTTATAGCTCAAAAGCGCTTTACAATTAAACTAATACTACTACTAATAATAATAAAGCAAAAAATAACCTAGTAATGTCCAAACTCAGTCATAAAGATATTCATTTCGTAGTCGTGATCGTGTACGTATATTGAAACTTTAGGTTGTAAAAATTCGGAAATCCACTCCGATTCAGTGTCAACCACATGCAAAGGACCAGTTTTAAACTCGTACTCGTTCTCGTACTCGTCGTCGGATCTAAAGGTCACTACTGTTTCGTTCGAAGTTGCAGAGCAAATGTTGCTCGTATTACGACTCCGCGCGCAACAAAATTGCATCGTCACAATGAGTAGATTGTGTTTCTATTTCACGCAGCCATGAAAATTTGTTGCGCGCTGAGTGGTAATACTTGAAATGTTCGTTCTCTTCGCATGGCGCGTTTGCGTTACCCGTTTCACCGCACCTTGACGCAAATATCTGTAAATAGTTCGTAATATATATTAAAAAAATCTATTACAAATCAAAATATTGTTTCCTAAAAAAATGTGAAGTATTTATGTTTTAGTTAGTTTTAAAATTTCGTACAAGTTTTGCTATAAGTTTTGCTATCCTTTTAGTGAATTTTAATGGCGTTTTTATTTTTATTGTTAATGCTATAATAATAATCATAATAGTTTGCTCTTAAAGATTTTTTCTTCAAAATCATCTATCATATAATGATTTTGAAACCACAACCAGGTAATCTGAAGTAAAACGATCAGCCAATCAAATTGCGAATTTTTGTTTGAAAAAAGAATCAATCCCAAGCGTCTATGCGCGCAGTTGGATCTCATTGAAGGTGGAGAAAACCGAAAGGGTTATCCACCAATGATATATATATATATTAAACTGGGTTAATCTAATTTCCCTCAAAAGGTTTCTTTACGAGTTAAAAAGTATCCAAGAGAACTTCCCTTTTAAGTGCTTATTCATAACAGCTACACTTTCCCGCCATTTTAGACTTTTTAATGACGTAGAGTGAATTCATGAATAATGAATTGCGGGATGACTGAATTTTTTTCTTTCACTGAACACAGTTCTATATTTGCTATTCCAAGGTTGAGAAAAAACTGGGTCGAGTTGGCACTGCGGTGTAATGTGGGACTGTTTTAGAGGACGAATTAGACGCCATCTTGGAAATTAGCCCCACAATGCACTGCAACGCCAACTCGACCCAGTTTTTTCTCAACCTCGGAATGGCTTCCAACTTTCAACTTTAAAAAGGAGCAACTATAAAATTTGAAGGGTAAATAAACTTTTTTTCCCCGAAGGCTTTCTATTTCATGAAAATTGAAACCGTAGACCACTACTAATAAAGCACCGGCAGGAATTTTTTATTTGATTTGCTTTAGAATGTGTTCTTTTGGTAAGTAAATGAATCCATTTTTTTTTCTGCCGAAGGTTACCGAAGAACCAACATCTCATATTTCTTTTGACAGTTTTCTTAAAGATATTGCTACCGGGTTCTCCACCCAATCAAATAAAGCAATTTGTTTTCTTGCGAGCAGTGAATAATATAATTTTTATACTATAAAATAAAAGAAAAAAACCGTTATAACGTACTACACATTGTTTCAAAAAAACCTTGTTTATATGTTTCTCTTTTTAAAAGAAAGTTAGAAAAACTAAAATTAGTTTTATAGACAGGTTCCAAATAAATTGTTAAATATCGTTCCTATAAACTAAACGAACTTAGAAAACAGTTAATSACCAAGCTCTACTTTTCTCGAATGAGTTACTTCACTGGCTATAAATATGTACAAGCATGCAAGTTTTCATGTAAAGCAAAAATATCTTCAAGAAACAGAGCCGAATAACTTGTTTTTAACCTGTTAAAACCGGTTTAAATAACCTGAAAAACAGGTTATAGGTTCGATTACCTCGAATACACGTGTCGTTACCTGACAAACAGGTTRCAGTGAATTGTCTTTTTCTCAAATAAACTTGTAAAACAGGTTCTTAAACCAAGGACGTTGTAGCAAGGGCTCTGTTTCTCAAATAAACTTGTCAAACAAATAATAACTGTCTTCCTTGTTTCCAAGACAACGTGCTAAACATGTTAAAGCCGGTAAAACCGGTAACAATAATTTGTACAATTTGAGAACACAAGCATGCAAGCCTCGGAGTAGAAAAACAAGATGATGGCATACTCCCAAGAAGACAGAGCGACAAAGTTCTACAAAGTTTTGTTCGAAGAATTGAGAGTCGTCCTTCATCGGCTCACCTTTGGTCCTCGCCTGATCGCTTCTTGCACAAAACAACACTGATGACGATAATGGCGATGAGGGTCACGCCGGCTACCGCAGCAATAACAATCCATAATGTCTTGTCTTTGAGTTCGCCACTGCCTGCAGCTTGTGCATTGATGTTCCCAGTAGGGCCTGCTATTAAAATTCACAGGACACATATTAATCATATTATCATTTAAATAAATTTTTCGTCATTTTGATTGGCCGAGATAACTGCCTAAAAATAATATTCTGCTCATGCGCATTACGGTGCAAAGCGGTTTTGCTACAAATGAGTCTGCTCATGCGTAGTAACGTTGTATTTGTCAACATGCCTCGCTTCCCTGTGACTTGGTTTGTTTGAAAGATATAGCAAAAACAACCAAAGCACAGAAAGAAAACGGAAAGTTAACAGTTAACTGAGTAGTAACAGGAACCAACGCAATCTCGTACCCTGATCCTGCGTTTCTTCTGGCCTGCGGCGAAGAGCGAGGGCTCTGGTACAATCCATTTTTTGGCGCATGCGCAATTTTCCGGAAGTGAAATATAATCAATGAAAATCATGCTTTAAAACAGAGTTCTGTGTTTACTTCTGATCAAAATTTTTCAAAAAGTTTTTGCAAGTCTTTGAACGCATGCGCTTTTATGCAGGAAGTCCAAGAAATCCTGGTCTCAAAAACTGGATTATGCCAGAGCCCTCGTTCTTCGCCGCAGGCCAAAAGAAACGCAGGCTCTGGGTACGAGATTGGAATCAACGCTTACCTTCAGTGGGAGAACCTTTATCTGAAAAATATATATATATTAGAGATTATTAGTAAAAGCACAATCACAGTTAAATGTGTGTGCATTGGGGGGAGGGGGAATTCCATCACTTTTCCGTAACCTCCATTTTCCAGCCCTTCAATAGATATTTTAAAACTCCATGACTTTCAATGACTTTACTATGACCGTGTGAACTCTGATATAGCGTAATGTCATCCTCCCGCTTGGGGACTTAATGTAGTATACTCTCACCTACCCCCAAGGGTTAGACGCACCTTTAATGATAAACATCTTGACACCCCTAATCATCAACACCTCGTAATCCCCGACAGACTTGACCTACCCCCCAGGGGATTCATTGTTTGCTCTCACCTACCYCCAAGGGTAAGACGTACCTTAAATCATAATCTTCTTGACACCCTTAATCATCAACATCTTTAATCCCCGACAGACTTAACCTACCCCCCAGGGGACTCAATGTATACTCTCACCTACCCCCAAGGGT